GATAATGCCCGGAGAGCTCATGGCTGTGCTACAGCCTTATTGTTCAGTTCTCTCTGCATATAAAACATGGGACAAATAAGCAGGGAAAGAATGTGCTTTGGACTGACAATGTGAACTACGCACATCACTTGTTGCTATGGAAATCCAGCTGACCTGGCAGTCTAGTGGGTTTTGTGATGGTTTGCCAATACTTGTTGGCATTGTTGTCACCCTCATATCTGCTAGTGGTCATTTTCCTGACAGTGTCCAGGTCTCAGAACATAGCCATTTACCAGCTTCCCTGCCCTCACTTCTGAACACAATGATATAGACAAATAAGATTGTCAATACACCACTTTGTCTCCCAAAGTATTTAAATAGAGGCTTTAAGACACAGATGAGTTGTATTTTGCTTTCAAATGTTAGAAAGTCTATGAAAAATATATGTAAAAAAAAAAAAAAGAAAAATACACGTGCACTACAAAGTCATTAGAACACCCCTGCCTCTACGCCTCGCAGCATCTTTCTTGGGAAAGCAATAAAGTGACTAACACTTGGAACACAGAGAAGCTGGACATCAGAACGGGCACTGTGAGCCTGACTATGAGCCTCTGACTCCTGCCTCTGCCAAGGCTGGGCAAGGCAGGCACCACTGGATTCCTGGCACTAGCCTTATGGACAGAGGGGACATGAAAAGAGGCCGCAGGGACAATGAAAATCTAGAGAGAAGTTGAAAGGGAAATTTCTGGATGCATTTTGAGAAACACTCTGGAATGGAAGAATCACTGAGCTGTGGAGCACGTGGAACAGTTGAGGGTGAAATGCTTTGCTAGTCTTGGAATCTTGACGGAGACTTTCAGTTCTAAATATTTTGTATATTTAACAAACTGCACACTTTTACCACTCTACTACCCACTGGGAACAAGAAACATCACACATTTTGTCGATTTGAATTATTACATGCATTTGTGGAGAACAGTGTTACTGGAGGGGCTCAGCAAGGCTGAGTCAATCTCCACAGTCGTATATGCTTCTACTACATATACTGCAAAGTTACATTATCACTAATATTTTTTACTCTCCAACTTGCCCAGTGGAATAAATCAGCTAAAACAATCACTGAATCATGATGTCAGAAATAACTTTTGTTTGAACTTCTACTTTTAAAGAGGAAAAAAAAAAAACACGTAAACCTCAGACAGAAGAAAGAAAAATGACCTGAAGAAATTCACACAAAACATTCCAAGCCATTTTCTCTAAAACATTACTTCAGCGCAGGACATTCCAGAAAGGACAAGTGAATACTGAACTTCCTGGTTTCCGAGGGGAATAACACCCAGGGAAAGCGGCAGAGAAACAGGGACTCACAGGCTGTTGAAAGGAATCTGCTGGTCAGGAGACTCAGTCAAGCTGGACGGCTCCAAGAACGCTGCTGGCTCGGCTTCCACTGCTGGGTCATTGCAGACTCACATCCTATGGAGGTCGAATGGGGTTTGAACAAACATGGGCCTTGCCTGTACATGGCCACCCCGTCAGCTGTGGGTGGTGGAGCTCAGATTTGAACGGAAGGTAGGTATAAAGGTGCTCACCCTCTCTGGTTAAGGGCAGGATAAAAGACAGTACTTGGGACAAACAAGTTTCCTTCTAAAACCACTTTGAGGCACGACAGGGTAGGAATCCCGTAAACTTCGTCAAAATAGGCATTCCAGATCATTCCAGTTAAACCCAGTCCCAATTTACTGCATTTGAGCTGGTTTTCTGAATGCACCGTCCCTGTGGCTTGCTGAGGGCGAGTGGTGCCTCCCATGGAAGCGGCGTGGTAAAAGGCCTGGATTTGAGTCCTGGCTCACCGTTTCCCTTAAGCATCTTACGTAACCTCTCATTATCCCAGCTGACTCACAGAGCACAGCATCCCTACTACCTCCTACCCGTACTATGGGAAAGGATTCTGACGGCCCGAAATGCACTCAGTACACATTCCTGTGAACACACCACGTACCAGGCCAGGTGCTAGGTACTGTAGAGATGAGTGGGAAATACAACAATGCCTGCATCCTGAAGAAGGTCAGAGAAGTTTAAATAAGACTGGCACGTTCACCACTCGGGGCACTGCAGTATGTTAAGAGCTGCCTTGGCTGGGCGAGCAGCAAGGCTCTCTGGACAAACAGGACAGGAAGTAGTTAATGACACCTGGCAGAGGCTGCCTTGCCAAGATAACAGGACTTGAGCCAAACAAGGGCTGGGTGTTATTTCGATTACCATTAAAATGAATAAAAATTTAAAAGTGAGTATACAACTGTGCAAAAATGTGTGACTAAGCCTAAATCAATGACCAAACACCTCAACTACACTTAAATTGTCAGAATGACTGTGAGCACCTGAAAACACTTTACTAAAATATTTAGACTGCCCAATTCGTGGCTCATTTTGATAACAAGCAACAGCAGCGGCAAGTTTGCTGCGTGGCACCAAACTGTATCAGGGAAAGTGAGTTTGAAGTGATTGCCAATTGCTACGTAGTATGAACCAGCCATCTAGAGTCTCATTAGTAGCAAGCAAGCAAAGATCAATCCTTGGAATTAAGGCAGTTTCTCAGTTATCCATAACAGGATTGGGATGAATCATAAAGTGCAAATAGAAGAAAAAGTTGTTATTCAATCAATACAACAGTCTTCTCTCTACCCCAAAACAAAAGAAAGAAGACCTGTTCGAATTGGTGGTTAATTTCATTTATGGGGAAAACTCAGGGACCTGAGTTTAAAAGATGGTAAGGTGTAAGAATAACCCATAAAATATGTAGTCAATCCTTAGTTTACTTATGTGGTTTGGCCTATAATTATTTGCCTTCCCTAAGTTGGGTAACTTTCCTTACTCTTCTGTAAGCTATCGCAGGATGCTGGAGAAGGAGCCACCGCAATCAGCTGGCCCAACTTTACAGGTAGGGAACAAGACTGAAGCTTGTCCACTCATGATTACCTCTGGTCTGTTCACGTTTCCCTGATAAAGCAAGCACACATCTGATGCTAACACCACTGAGAGAAAAGCTTAAAAGCCATCTTAGAATACATCCATCTCTAAGAGACAAGGGTGTTACAGGAATCGAGTCAAATAGCAAAACAGAAAGCAAGAGGAGCGCCAAGTCCCTCTCATGCACTGGTTCAGGCTCAGCGTCTGGGTGCCCTCACCAAGTCGGTAATATTAAATGTGACTAAACTTACACAATTTGCTGTCATGAAAAAGAAAAGAAAAAGCAACCTCTGGCAAAAACAGAACTGTCCTTCTTTCTGCAGAGCAGACAACAACACCAGACTACAATCCCAGAGCAGACACAGAGAGCATGGTTAAATAAAACGAAGCACCCTAAATCCGATTTTACCCACAGGTCTAGAAATTAACCAGCTTCATTTCCCCAACGTCACATTCCCGGGGAGGTAGCACATACCGCAAACAGGCCACAGAGATCCAACCGGACCACAACCTATTTCCCAATGAAACAGGCACACACATTCATACCAGGGCAAGCTTGTGGACTCTAATCCCTGATTAGTGGAAAACACACATTTTCAAAATGAATCCCCAATCCAGAATGAATTACCGTAATAGCCACGGCCGGGCGAGCCCACTGATGAGAGACGAAGATCTGGCCACCTGCTTTGAGCCGCCCCAGAGCACAACACTGCCGGGGTCTTTAAGAGCTGGCCGTGTGGGGTAGGGCATCTGCTCTTCTAAATCGCGTTTGGATCCCCAAGAAGACAGATGCCTCCCTTAATTTCTGAGCTATGCTGCTCTTCCTGTATTCATTTCTGCCCAACACAGCACTCTTAATCTTTTCCGAGAGAAAACAAAAACAAGGGGAGAATTGCACCACTGCAGAGCCCAAGAGAAGTGAGCGCAAAACTACTGCAACGTCAAATGATACCCTGGGCGGCTAGGAGAACCCCCACATGCTGTCAGCTCAGTGCAGACGGAGGCGCGCTGTGCCCGGAACCACAGCAAGGCGGGCATCTCTGCAGCCTGCGTCCCTGCCAGCTACCCCCACGCGCTGAATATCGGCAGTGGAGAAGTTATGGTGCCCAGCCTCAATGTGCAAGATACACGGACCACGCATCCACACTCTCCAGCTCAGCCTCTCAGAGTGTCCTGGCACGGGGATTGGGTGCTGGGGGCCACCTTGTTTGAGCGCTTGCGTTTTGCTGCATTGTCGCGGCCCTGGAGTACAGGGGTAAGAGGAAGCGTACCTCCAGCCAGAAAAGGACCGGACCCGTTGTTCCCCGCGCCCCCCTCCCTGTCTGTGTGCAGGACGTAATACCTAAGGCGACATAACCGACCGCTCCCGCTAAAAACTCGGGTGGCAGGCTCTGGTGAGCGGCGCAGCGTGGTCCGCTGGGGACTGGGAGCGGCTGGGCGCGCACCCACAACGCGCATCCGCCCCGCCTGCCACCACCGAAGGGAGCGAGGGCCGGAGTTGGCCGGGGTCCCCCGAGCGAGCATCGGCAAGCTCGTGCGGGGGCTCTGAGCGCTCGATGCGCCAACCACCGGCACTGCATGGGACACAATTGTCCAAAAGCGAGCCCACGGTGAAGCGCAAAAGCAGAGCTCTGGTTCACAAGGGGTGGGTGTGGGCTGGGAAGGGGGATTACGTAGGTCTCTCCGCCCCCTCCCCTGACACCTCCTCGCCACTGGGAGGGCGCCGAGAGGCGGGGGAGGCGCTGCGAACCCGCTTGGGGGCTTCTTTGTTTCTCTCCTTGCCCAAAAGGAGGGCCCGGTGCGCCTGCTATGCCAAAGCTGCGGTCACCACCTAGGGATGCCAGTCCGGCCTGGGCGGCGGCGTGCCCCACCGTGACAATTGAACCTCGCCGGAGAAGCGAGAAGGTGGGAAGCTGGGTGGATCCCAGCTCTGGGGAGGGCGCTGCCGCGGCCTCTGGAGCCGTGCGGAAGCCTCGCAGAGAAGGGCCGGAGGCGTTGTGGGAAGGGGACAGGGGCCAGGGGCCAGGCAGATTCCCCGCACGCCTCACACTTACCTTGGCAGCCCCAGCCTGGGTACAGATCATGCTCCCGTCAGCGCGCAGGTTGGAGCCGGCGGGCGCACGTGCCCTGCATAGGCACCGGGCACCTGGGACCCACTGGTGGGACCCGGGCGACAACCGGCTTTCTCCGAGGTCTGCCGGCTGCCGAGAGTCTTCAAGGAGCGGCTGCCACGGAGGAGCAGCGCGCGGCGGCTCGGGGAGTGTGCGAGCGAGGAGGGGCCCGGCTGGGTCAGAGACGCACCGTGTTGCGGCTCCCACCTCGGCGCCTGCTGAGCGGCAACGCAGCGCACTTCATCGCTTTATCCTCCCGCCTGCATCCCTCCCTCCCTGCCTGCTCCTCTGTGGGTACCAGGCTCCGGAACCAACCACAAGCCGGGCTCGCTCTCATTAGCGCTGCCCCGCCCTGCAGCTCCGCGCACCCCCGCCCCCCCCCCCGCCCGCGCCGTAAATATATATTGATTCTTGTTACCGCCCGCCTAGCCTTCAGCCCCCGGCAGGGTACCAGGCAAAACCGGCCCCAACCCCGGCTCTTTTGTGCACGCAAGTGTGTTCAGATAAGATGCAGTGCAGACACCGTGGTAGGTACCTGGGACAGGTGTTCCTGGCCTCTGGGACACACTTTCTTCATCTCTCTTAGGCACAGTTTTGAACAATCACAGACACATTTCACAATGCACAGCAAGCACACAAATCAAACAGCAATTTTAAGTGCGATGGCTGACATGTGGGGCAAAACCAATACAAATTCCAGGTTTTGCATCAAACTGCAAGATAAAATCAGAATGCTAAAACCGAAAAGATGCACCCTCAAGACCTACCCTTGTATAGCCAAGCAAGACACAAGCAGAAGTAAACATTAGTTGCTGTGGGTCACTGGCTGCCTGCGTGTGGAGATCCACGGGTGTTGGGTTGGGATTTGGCTTTTAGCTGTTCACATAATACGCACAGGTTGGGAGTGCATCTCCTCCGTTCTCTGTGATTCTAAGTGTATTCTTCACAATGTTGACTGACTTCATCCCATTCTCCTGCCCAGCTACCCCTACATGAGTCATCTGTCGTATTCTAGAAAGTTGTCCTCAGTTCCATTCCCCAAACCCAGATCTCTTCTAGCAAAAACAAAGGCCTGAAGGTGACTGCAGAACTCCTTCCCGAAGACCTGAACGCGGACACTCACCAACACTACTCGGTGGCTGCTCGCTTCACTGACCCACCTTTTGGCCTCCATCTCCCTCTCACAGTGAGAACTTTCCAGCAGTGGGAGCCGTGGGGGATGGGACTACAACCTCACCAGCTGTTTCCCATTTTGCAGGCCCAGACCTGTCTCTTGACCTGATAACAAGCAATCAGATCTGGTCAGCTGAGCTCAAAGCTGAACACTTTTCAAAATTCTCTCTCTCTCTCTCTCTCTCAAGGATCCACACAGAAAGCCAATCACACATTCCCCTAGAGGAGTTCACATTTCCACCACCAGCAACTGCTAGATGAAGAAAACCCTGGGAGAACAGACTGGGCTAGACTGTAGCAATCAACCACGATGTCTAGCAAGTGTGTGATGCTTTCAACAAGTTTGGATATGCCGTCATCCATGGTTTCTAAATTAGCACAGTATCACTAAGCCACAATAAACAATAAGTCTTTACTGCAATTTCCAGGAAGCTCACCGCATTATTTTCAGCGATGTACCATCAACTTGGCTCAGGAATGTTTTCTATCCCAGAGCCATGGTAAGACTTCACAAATCAACATCCATCAGAGAGTTATTGATGAAACAACTATGAGGTGTGCTTTATTTTTCCCTGGCTAATTTTTCTTGCTGTACTGAATGTGAAAGATACTAAAATACACCAAGTTTCGCAGCTGAACAGGTTGAGCAGGTAAGGAAAGTCCTCTAAAACACCTGTTACATGCCAGGTGCAATTGCAGCAGTACAAACTGTTGTCTTTATTCCCGACCAGCCCACTGCAGCCTAGGAAACATTGTCTCATTAAACAGAGGGAACCAACAAGGCTCTGTGGGGTTTGTAGTTTCATCTCTTTATAAAGCAGAAAACACAGAGTTGGCTGACATTAGCTACCACAATGTTAAATAGGAAGAAAGGAAACCTTGGTGGAGAAAGGAAGACTTGTCATCAATTGCAAAACCATCTTTTTAATAGTTACGTTTCTTGAGTTTCTAATGTACTCAAAACACCATGAGAAATACAATAAGCCCATTAAAAATGCAATAACCCACAAGCCCAGTGTCCCTAATAACACTAGCCTTGCACAGGAGCATAGGATAATGAAGGCATTTTAAGAAGATAATACAAATACCTGTGTTGTGATTCCCAGCCAGCCCGAGTCTCCACCCTTTCTCACTCAGAGCTCTCCAGGGAGGCACAAGCAGGCCTGCTCTTCTCAGGCCACACGCAGATCCCCTTTCCAAAGGATCTCCGCAAAGCTGGAAAATGGACTTGAACTAATCAGAGACTTATTCTTAATAACCTCACTGTGTCAAAGCGAATGTCTCATCAATAACGGAGGATCAGGATCAAGCTGTCGAAGCTGCCTCTGTGGGACAGTTGCAGACAGTCACACAAGTCTGAGACACCTTGGATCCCATGGCTTCGGTACCAACTCAAAGAACCATGTGTCCAACTTGGTCAGCTGGGCAAGTTGCCTAGAGAAGCCAGGCCTTCCTTTAACGAGAGAGGCAATATTTATTCATTTATTTATTCATTTATTTATGAAGGGGAAATAAACCTGCAAATGTCGAGGGAGCAGCAGCAACTCTCTTGGCAACTTGAGAAATCTTGTGACATCGTGGAGATCACATAAGAGGCTGAGGTTCTGTGAAGGAGCAGAGGATATGTCTGATATGATTCTATTCATTTATCCAACATTTCATCAAATATGCTTCTGGAGATACAGCCTTAAAGAAGACAGATCCTGATTTTGTGAAAAGTTGAGTTGAGAATATTAAAAGCTCTAATTAAACAAGGAAGCACTGTCCATCCATCAATGCTGTGCTTAGTGGAAGCGGGAGGCCCAGCATCACACAGCAGACAGTCCGGGACCCAGACCCAGTGTGGAGTGAGGGTGAAATCTAACGCATGCTTCTAGGTGCTTGAGAATTACAGGATGAGTAATAGTGAAGAAGTAGAGGAGGGGTCTCCTAACAGCAAGGTCAGGGGCAGGCAGAGAAGGCTGTGGTACACACGAGAATGTCAGTCTGATTGAAATGTGCACCGGTCATAGGCATCTCGGTGTGGCTTGAAGTTCTGCTTCCCTGACAGCTAAAGATGCTGGGCGTCTGCGTGCAACCTTCACCGAAGCACCTGCTCCAAACGTCTGCCCTGTGATTGCTGACTGATTGCTCCGAGTCTGTAGCTCGCTCTTTCAACCTCTTCATTTCCTTCAGGCAGCAAACATTTTTAAAGGGATGGGATTCAACATATCAACTTTTTCATTTAGAAAGCACACATTTTGTATATTTAAGCATACTTGATTAAGTGAGGTAACAGAGAATTTTGCTGTTTTAATATTGTGCATTTTAAACTTTTATCTATAGGTCTTTGATCCATGCTGAGCTGTGACTGCTTTTTAGGTGTGAGATGTGGATCCTGGACTTCCCACGCGGTTCTCTGGCTTTGCATAGCAATATCAGCTTTCTCCAGCAACATGCTCTTAGAAGATGATCCTTTCATGATGGGATCGACTTTTCAAATTTATACAAGTCAGTAGGATTCTGTAGAATCCATGGACTCTCTATTTTATGTTGCAGTGTGTGTGATTGTTCTTTTGTCAGTACTATGCCTTCTTGGGTACTTAGATTTATACTGATTTGAGCTCAGGTAGCGTGAATCCTCAATATTATTTCGCTTATTTTCATTTCTTTAATTTCCCCTATATACTTTTGGATCAGTTTGTCAATATCTCTCAAAAAATCCTGCTTATACTTTAATATTTATTTAGTTATTTTCTTTATTAGAGAGGCAGAGAAGTAGACATTGATATCCAGGTGCTGTTTTGCTTCCTGGGTGTTAGCAAGAACTGGAGCTGGGCCAGGCCAAGCTCAGTAACTCAATCAAGGCCTCCCACATGGCAGAACAAAGTGGCATCCCATATCAGGGTACAAGGGTTCCAGTCCTAGCTCCACTCCCGATTCCAGATTCCTGCTGGTGGGAGCCCTGGGAAACAGTGGCTGATGGTTTAAGTACTTGGGTCCCTCCCACCCACAGGGGAAGTAAAGGCTGACGTTCTAACTCCAAGGTTTAGCCTGGCCAGGCTCTGGCAGTTTTGCACGTTTGAGCAGTGAACAAGCAGATGGGACATATCTCTCTTCCTCGTTTTTCCCCTTTCAGTATGTGAGTGTCTCTGCCTTTCAAATACACAAAACAGAAAACAGAAAAAAAGGATATTCAAATTTTAAAAATGCAATAAATACATGAGAAACTAAACATACCTATGAATAAATTAAGTACAAATCAAATGAGAAGTCATTTTTACCAATTTGGTTCTCATCAAAAATACTAGCTAGTCAGGTTATAGTGAGATCAGAACTTGTATTTCTGCTGGTAGAAAAATAAATCATTCCAACTTACCTTACCTGAAGTTCAAGTCTTCACTTATATCAAAAATCTTTGAGTCACTTTTGTGATTAGATGGAATATATCAGTCAGCTATTGCCACATAACAAACAATCCTGAAGCTTATTATTTTTTTTTTGACTAATGTATTGTTTCTTATAAGGCTCTAAGTTGGCCATAAATGGCTGTTCTCAGCCAGACTAGGCTGCTGTCAGCTGGGCTCCTTTGTCTGGGCCATTGGTACCTGTCTGAGCTGGCTGATCTAGGATGACTTCATCTGAAGACCTGGCTCTCTTCCTTGTGGTCACTCATCCTTGAGCAGACTTTCCAGACTTTCTTTCACGGCAGTAACTGGGGCTGGAGAGAGAGAGGAGAAAGAGAGAGATAGCAGGAGTATTCAAAGCTCCGAAGGCCTGCTGTGATAACCAGCACGCTGCAATTTCACCGTCTTCCTTTGGTTATAGCGCATCATGTGGCCACACCAGATTTCAGAGATGGAGGGAAAGGCTCAATCGCTTGGTGGGAGGAACTTCAAGGCACAACATAGAGGCCATGGATGTAGGCAGCAACGGAGAATCTGAGCTGGATACTAACAGTGCAATATAAAAGAAAGAAAGAAAGAAAGTAAGAAAGGGGCCGGTGTGGTAACCTAGCAGCTAAAGTCCTTGCCTTAAATGTGCTGGGATCCCATATGGGTGCTGGTTCTAAACCCGGCAGCGGCCCTGGTTCCCATCCAGCTCCCTGCTTGTGGCCTGGCAAAGTT